TAAGATTTAAGCAGTTTTATTACACAAAATGAGACGTAAAAAAGGAATGCAACTTATCCAAAAAGCATAACTCATGACGAGAACATGGAATTATAAATACATAAATTTACATTTCTCCTGACTCAAACTTACACAACAGTTAAATGACACGACATGAACAATATCAATCACCGGCTCGTGTGCCATATAAAGAGTTTCAACATGATTTCCCTCGTGTTTTTGAGAACATGTTTGATGGGTCAGCCTGTGATCAGTGATGACGTTGATCGTCTAGTTTTCCTGACAGCCACCTAACAAACAGATACAGATTAGAGCTGTACAGATTAGAGCTGCACCATTATAATCGTTAAAAGATCGTTAGAATCATTCAACAATCAAGTACGGGTAGGCTTCATGTTTTTAATGTTTTCTACTAACGTTAGTTAACGTTAGTCTTATGATGCAGACATTCAAATTAACACAGCGATGCTTAGATAACAGCTTTGTATAGTTCGGATATAAAAAACTGGCGTTTATGATAAATGTAAATAATCACCGTTTAAAAAAGTGAGGCTTGTAATGACGGTTGTAGTTAATTACGCCAACAGGTGGCGACAAGCAACTATTAAGTATTTGTCACTGAAGAATTCGTTACAAAATAAGTAGGGCCTATAACGTTACCGAATCACTCGTTAAAATTAAGTTTTATTAAAAGTATATATTATACACGGGTTGAACGGATTAGAGCTGCACAACCCGCTAACAGATCATGAGAATCATTCAGCAAAGTAGCTTATGGGTAAGTCTTCATGCTTATGTTGCAAACATTCAAATTAGCACAGAGATGCTTAAATAACAGCTTATAGTTCAGATATAAACACTGACGTTTATGGTAACGTTAAGGTAACCCTGCTGAAAATTGACCAGCCTGGTTTTAAAGGGGTTTTGGCCACTTTCAGGCTGGTTTCCAGCCACTTCCAGCCTGGTCCTAGCTGGTCAGGCTGAAAAGTGACCAGCTGACCATCCTGGTTTAAGCTGGAATATAGCTGGTTTTGGCTAGGCTCCCAGCCTGGCTAGGCAGGTAAAGCTGGTTTTAGCTGGTCATCTCCCAGCCTGTCTAGCTAAAACCAGGCTGGAAACCAGCCTGGAATTGGCCAAAACCCCTCTAAAACCAGGCTGGTCAACCAGCTAAAACCAGTCAATCATCCTAGGCTGGTTTAAGTTGGATTTTTCAGCAGGGAAATATAAAAATAACCGTTTAAAACCTTTTAAATAACGGTTGTATGTTACGCCAACAGATGGCGACAAGCAACCATTAAGTATTTGTCACTGAATAATAATATTGTTATTATATAATGTAATATTGTTTTAAATTCCTTATTTATACTTTAACGATCCAAACTGAGTTTTATAAGTATTAAAAGTATATTATTCACAAATTGTACGGATTAGAGCTCCACAACTCGCTAAAAGATTGTGAGAATCATTCAGCAATGTATAGGTAAGTCTTCATGTCTTTAATCTTTTCCACTAAGCTAGTTTTATTAATTCTGTGTTAAACATTCAAATTATCACAGAGGTGCTTGGATAATAGTTTATAGTTTGGATATAAACACTGGCGTTTATGGCAAGGTAAATTAAAAAATTGAATTAAATGAATAATAATAATGATTATAATGAATTAATGAATAATTCCTTATTAAATACAAATTAATAATATATAAAATATAATACTAATTTAATATAATATAAAAATAAAAAACCTCTAGTTAATTCTTTTTTTTATTAATTCATTGGCTATTCAGAATCGCCATGAGTGAATTGTGATTTCTATTATAATCAAAACAATTGTCACTCCCTCCATAATTGTGCAGTTCTGTTATTGATGTGTTTCTAATGTAAAACAGTGTGCTTACAGGCTCCGATTCTCTCCTCCAGAAAGCCGACCTGTTCGCTGAGCGACTCGATGCGGTCCAGTTGCTGCAGAGAGTGGGACAGGAAATTGGTTCGCTCAGACAGGAAGCTGTTGGTGTCCCCTGCTCCGTCCAGAGGTAGGAGAGTGGTGAAGGGTGCTAGAACCATCTCCAGTTTCTGCAGAGAGAAAGAGAAAGGTATTTTAACATTCGAGGACACTGACTTGCTTTAAATCCTTCTAACTGTCGAGATTTGTTTTTGTTTTATTATTATTTTTGCAAACTAAGAGGCAAAATTAGTAATTTCAGTTAATATATCATTAAAACAGCTCTTCCAGTCGGCACCCAGTACTGGAAAACACCCATTCACACACACACACACACACACACTCATACACTACGTCCAATTTTATTCATTCATTTTCCTTCGGCTTAGTCCCTTTATTCGTCAGGGGTCGCCACAGCGGAACGAACCGCCAACTAATCCAGAATATGTTTTACACAGCGAATGCCCTTCCAGCTGCAACTCAGTAATGGGAAACATCCATACACACTCATTCACACTACGGCAAATTCAGCTTATTTAATTCACTGTACAGCGCATGTGTTTGGACTGTGGGGGAAACCGGCGGACCTGGAGGAAACCCATGCCAACACGGGGACGGGGAAAACATGCAAACTCCACACAGAAATGCCAACTGGCCTGTGTTTCAGAAGCTGCGATGTGTGAGTTTCACTGCTGCTTTTAATTAAACCATTAGTGAAGCTTTGAACCTATAACCTCTTTTGGCAGCTTCCCCTCGTTTGATGTAGGATTTGTGTCCTGGGGGAGTGTGTGTGTGTGTGTGTGTGAGAGAGAGAGAGAGAGAAAGAAAGAAAGGAAGAGCAGTGTTGAGTGTGTGTGTGTGTGTTTGTGTGTGTGCGTGCGGGTGTGTGTGCGCGTGTGCGGGTGTGTGTGCGTGAACACATTGTTGAGTCTGTGTAAGAAGAAAAAAGCATTTGTTGATGTTGTGTGTCTGTGTCTAAACTCTTTCTTATTAATTGTGTGTGTCTGTGTGCGTGTAAGCGTGCGTGTGTGTGTTAAAACTGTGTGTTAGAGCATGTGTATGTAGAAGCTTTGTTGATAATGTTGTGTGTGTGTGTGTGAGTGTGTGTGTGTGTGTGTGTGTGTGTGTGTGTGTGTGTCTAAAAGCTTTCTTGATGGTATGTCTGTGTGCATGTGTGTGTGTTAGGTCTGTGGTTGTAAGCATATGTGTGTGTGTGTGTGTGTGTGTGTATATGTATATATGTGTATGAGTGCATTGTTAAGTCTCTGTGTGAGAGCATGTGCATGTAGAAGCTTTGTTGATGTTGTGTGTGTCTGTGTGTGTATGTTAGAGAGAGTGTGTGTTAAATCTGTGTGTGTGAGAGCATGTACATGTAAAAGCTTTGTTGAGGGAGTGTGTGTGTATCTGTGTGCGAGAGAGAGAGAGAGTGTTGAATCTGTGTGTGTCAGAGCATGTGCATGTAGAATCTTTGTTGATGGTGTGTGTGTCTTTGTGTGCAAGAGAGAGAGTGTGTGTTGAATCTGTGTGTGTCAGAGCATGTGCTTGTAGAGGCTTTGTTGATAATATGTGTGTGTGTGTGTGTGTGTGTGTGTGTGTGTGTGTGTGTGTGTGTGTGTGTGTGTGTGTGTGTGTGTGTGTGTGTGTGTGTGTGTGTGTGTGTGTGTGTGTGTGTGAATTTACGTTTCTGACCTGCTCCAGGAGCTCCACTCGGTTTTTTAGGATCTGAACCTCTTCAGTAACGTTCTCCACCAACCCCAAACCTCCACCTTAAAGAACAAAAGAAACGCATGCTCAGATTAGCAGCAGACCACACACACACACACACTCACTCTCTGACATTCAGGCTTAATAAATACCACACAGCACTATTTTTTGATGTTTAAGGATGCAGGTTTGGAAAATTAATAGTTTTTTTTTTACAGACAGCATGAACATACACAATTGCAGTCTTCTGTAAGCCGTCCAGAGTTCAGTGTTGTTGTTTTATGTTATATTTCTGCTTGCCTGAGGATTAATATCCAGAGAGATCCCAGAGCAGAGCAAAGAGCACAGAGGAACAGACAGGCCGACAGAAATAGAAAGAGAAAGAGAGAGAGACTGGAGGGGCTGATAAAGGGGACGCTTGAGGTTTGGCAGAAATATGATTAAAAAAAATGTTGATATGCACTCAAGTCAAAAAGTCTGAGACCACTAGTAAACTACTGATTCTTGTACTTTGTTTTATAGTTAGATAAAAAAAATATGGAATGCAAATTAAAGTGTCTCCATAGCAAAGAAAAATAATTAAATTATGAAAAATCTTTACTATATTTAGAATTAATTTATTTTATATTATATTATATTATATTATATTATATTATATTATATTATATTATATTATATTACACTCACTGGCCACTTTATCAGGTACACCTGTCCAACTGCTTGTTAATTTTTAATCAGCCAATCACATGACAGCAACTCAATGCATTTAGGCATGTAGACATGGTCAAGACGATCTGCTGCAGTTCAAGCCGAGCATCAGAATGGGTAAGAAAGATGATTTAAGTGACTTTGAACGTGGCATGGTTGTTGGTGCAAGACGGGCTGGTCTGTGTATTTCAGAAACTGCTGATCTACATTGATTTTCACGCACAACCATCTCAAGGTTTATAGAGAATGATCTGAAAAACAGAAAATATCCAGTGAGCAGCAGTTCTGTGAGCACAAATGCCTTGTTGATGCCAGAGGTCAGAGGAGAATGGCCAGACTGGTTCCAGCTGATAGAAAGGCAACAGTAACTCAAATAAGCACTCGTTACAACTGAGGTATGCAGAAGAGCATCTCTGAACACACAACATGTCCAGCCTTGAGGCAGATGGGCTACAGCAGCAGAAGACCACACTGGGTGCCACTCCTGTCAGCTAAGAACAGGAAACTGAAGCTACAATTCACACAGGCTCATCAAAATTGGACAAGAGAAAATTGGAAAACCATTGCCTGGTCTGATGAGTCTCGATTTCTTCTGCAACATTCAAAAGGTTGGGTCAGAATTTGGCATCAACAACATGAAAGCATGGATCCATTCTACCTTGTATCAACAGTTCAGGCTGCTTGTGGTGTAATGGTGTGGGGCCCTTTTCTTGGCACACTTTGGGTCCATTAGTACCAAATAAGCATTGTGTCAACGCCACAGCTGACCTGAGTAATGTTGCTGATCATGTCCATCACTTTATGATCACAATGTATCCAGTTTCTTATGTCTACTTCCAGCAGGATAACGCGCCATGTCATAAAGTGTGAATCATTTCAGACTGAGTTGAGTTTTCTGTACTCAAATGACCTCCACAGTCACCATAACTCAATCCAATTGAGTACATTTGGCATGTGGTGGAACAGGAGATTCGCATCACGGATGTGCAGCCAACACATCTGCAGTAACTGCGTGATGCTATCATGTCAATATGGAGAAAAATCTCTCAGGAATATTTTCAGTATATTGTTGAATCTATGCCAAGAAGGATTAAGGCAGTTCTGAAGGCAAAACGTGGTCCTACCCGGTACTAGTAAGGTGTACCCAATTCACCTATAGTGCATGTCTTTGGACTTGTGGGGGAAACCGGAGCACCCGGAGGAAATCCACGCCAACACAGGGAGAATAGCCCAGCCGAGGCTTGAACCAGTGACCTTCTTGCTGTGAGGAGATTGTGCTACCCACTGCGCCACCTTGATGCCATTATTTATTACATATATTAATTTTATTCTAACGTCAAAAACTAGAGACTTCTGCACCACAGCATACATTGAATAAGCTCATATTTTATTTCACACTCTTCAATAACACACAGCCAATACCTGTGATTGGCTGATTTTTAAACAGCAGCACTGAATACCCAATAACATCACCCCTGATCACAGTAAGCCCCGCCCCTTGGCAGTTTTTCCTGAATGTTTTGGGTTGCGAGAGCGATCAGTCTAGTCAATGGCTCTTAAACACACACACACGCACACACAGTGAATGTGTCCCAGATGTGTGCTGTTATAAAGGGAAAGCTCTGACCCCCAGCAGTCTGACTCTGATAGATGTGGAATGTGAGCTGCACATTGAGCCAAAATGAATACAGAAACAACAGCTACAAATCGCTGAAGTACAAATTCACCATCGTCATACAGCTAAACACACAAGCTTACTGTTCTCCTGTCTGATGACACTAATGTGGTATTAAATAGAAGGTTTTGAAGACTCTGGGTCCCATAAACTATTTGGACGTTAGTTTATGGGGTCAAGTGATGTTAGAGCTAGAGGCAATGCTCTCGTTTTATGCCTGTTTTTCTCAGTTCACTTAGATTTGAGCAGAAATGCAAAATCAGCAAGCTGGAGAAACATGCACCAAAACGAAACAACAACAAAACGAATAAAATCCCTTATTTTTTTAGAAATAGACACTTTAAAAAAATGTATATTATTAAGATAATTATTAACAGATGCACACACTGAATAAACTACTGAGTAAGAAAGTAAGCACAACATTAACATTTATTTGTACATATCTTACAGTTAGTTTTTGATTAGTATTTTGATCCACCCAGAGGAAACCTATGCCAACATGGAGAGAACATGCAAACTCCACACAGAAATGCCAACTGACTCAAACTAGCGACCTTCTTGCTGTAAGGCAACAGTGCTAACCACTGAGCCACCGTGTTGCATCGATTAAGTTAACTTCACAAATTTAAGTGGACTGAACCTAAAATATTTAAGTTGTCCCCAAAAATCTAAAGAATTTTGTTGTTTCAGCTCATTTTAAATAAGTAGTTTGAACAAGCAGCAAAATCCATTCTTTTGAGTGTAGATAACACTTTAATATGAAATGTTACACAGTTTGAAAAACTTCTCATGTTTGTATTAAATGTTAAAAAATTATTTTGGAGTAAAAGTTAAAATTAAAAACTATATAAAAAAATTAAATAGCTTATAACGTCGAAAGACAGACTATTTAAATATGTAATTTTTCTTTTGAATCTTTTTTTTACTTTAATCTAATTTATTTTTAAAACGCCTAGTGTGTTACACATCATTTAAAAATAAATGAGATTAAGTTAAATTAAATTAAATTCATTTTAACTTTAGTTAATTGTAACTTTTTAACACAGTCTCAATTGTGTGTGTGTGTGTGTGTATAATATATATATATATATATATATATATATATATATATATATATATATATATATATATATATATATATATATGTATGTATGTATGTATATCTAAATTATTAAGCCCATTGTTAATTTTTCCCCCCAATTTCTGTTTAACAGAGAAATTTTTTTCAGCACATTTCTAAACATAATAGTTTTAGTAACTCATTTATAATAACTGATTTATTTTATCTTTGCCATTATGACAGTAAATAATATTTAGATAGATTATTTTTTCTATTTAGATATTTTAGATATTTTTCAAGACACTTCTATACAGCTTAGTGTTATTTTTAATTAGGTTTAATGTCGTTAACTAGGCTAGGTTAGGGTAATTAGGCAAGTTATTGTGTAACGATGGTTTATTCTGTAGACTATCATGAAAAAAAATGCTTAAAGGGGCTAATAATTTTGACCTTAAAGTGGAAAATGTATACAGCTTTTATTCTAGCCAAAATAAAACAAATAAGACTTTCTCCAGAAGAAAAAATATTATCAGACATACTGTCAAAATGACATTTCTCTGTTAAACATCATTTTCGAAATATTAAAAAAAAAAAAAAATTCAAAGGGGGGCTAAAAATTCTGACTTCAACTGTATATGAAAAGTACACACACACACACACACACACACACACACACACACACACACACACACACACACACACACACACACACACACACACACACACACACACGTACAAATATACAAATATACAAATGTATAAGTAAATGCGTACTTACACATACAACATAAAGGTACATCATATAACAACAACTATATATCAATAGCAGATGATATGAGTTAATCAGAGAAAAGATGTGTATTAGCTTCCTTCAGAATCCTACAAATGGATTCCAAATTTTAAAAGAACTTTTCAGGTTTTCTCTTGACTGTTTTAGTTAATTTTTCTAAAGACAAACAACAAGACGATTCCTGCAAACATTGTTCAACATGCGGTCTTTCTGTATTTTTAACACTAGATATGATTAGTTTTGCATGTAACAAACTGAAAGTTAACAGTTTTTTAGCTGAGCAAGTAATAATTTTAACTTTTTAAAATGTATTTTAATAGTGTACAACATACATATGTTTCAAATATAAAATAAATATTTCTGAATGTTTAAAATAATTAAATAATTATGTAGTATTATTTTCAGATGCAGTGCTGGCAGTGTTGACAGGTTTGGTGTAAACTGATCTCACACCTTCTGTCCCAGTGGACGTCGGGCAGACAGATGTAAGACTCAACAAGTGTGGGAACACACAAACTAGTGCTCGAGTTCACTGAGAGGCTTCTTTCAAATATTTCCCTATATTACATCTAAAAATAAACAAAGAAATGTAGCATTTCCCTTTTCAGCAAACCTACATGACCTTTACCAGACATTACAGCTCTCAGATCTGTAAAACTGCTGCTCTCTTGTACTTGAACTCTATTGCGAGTGAGAAAACTCCAGGAATGTGTGTTTGAGATGGAGCCAACAATCTGAATGAGTGGCCATTATTTTAGCCAACATGACTGTATAGGGCCAGATCCTCTGTTCTGCTGTTATTTATAAATCTCAGACAGATATGATATAGAGAGAAGATGAAGAAACAGTGGAGGAGAGCGAGACCCTGCCAACAGACTTAAAGACACAGACCAGTTCTGGCATAGAGAGAGACTGATATAGCGAGAGTTATGTTTGCTAGATTCCCACAGTACAGCACTCTTCACTATTAGTGAATTTAACTCTATTAAAAACCTCTGTTTATAGAAGAAAAGTGATTTATATTTAAAAATGCGCAGTGATAGCTGTATTTAGTTAGTAAAATAGTAACCCTGTTGTTAGCTTTAAAACGGCTTTAATGTTAGCTTTAATGCTAATGAGAAATTTAGAAACACTAGCATGTTTTAGCAATTTGCTAGCATGTTTATAAAAATATTTATTTTGACAAGTTACCAATACTATATTATACTGTATTAAGCTGCTACTTGAAAGTTTTGGCAAGTTGATTGCATATTTCTAACAATTGTAACAAGTTGTATCATGTTAGCTTGTCGATCACAGGGTTTTCCTAATTGCTAAAATGTTTACACCAAATTAACATGGTTACGTTGTTGGTGTGTTTTGACATGCTGCTAGCATAAGTTTCTAACTTATTCCAAAGAGCATAGAATCACTAAGAAGCGACACTCTAGTGGGATTCGGGAAACAGCCACTAGACAGCGCAGCGGCCAATTTGGAATGAAAATTCCAATGGAACAACAGCATATTATAAGTCTGTAATGAATGTAGTGTATGAATGAAAAGTGCTGATGATTGTGATAGTATGTGTTATACTGTCATCTTTCAGGTTGTATCTAGGCTTTAATGCGCTTTTTAAAATAATAAATAAAAAACAAACAGCTGCTTGCCATCGCGACAGCAATAACATCCAATGGGAAGCCGACCGCTTTCACTAAAAAAGCTGTGTTGTTGCTGGGCGCTGCTGTTGCAATGGAAAGTTCTATTGAGTGTCGCCTCTTGGTCATTCTAAGCTCTTTGCTTATACCAAAACGTTACCAGCTTGTTTGTAATTGTTTGAACAAGTCGCTAGCATGTTTTTAGCAACAATTTGCTAACCTGCTGTGGCAAGATGTAAACATAAATTAATAGCAAATGCTAGAAAATGCTTGCAACCTGTTAAATATTTCAGTGAATTTATTAGTTATAATAATAATCAGTAACTTAATAATTGAATATTTATTGCTCTCAAACGATCAATTGTGATTAATCTCATCTAGAAAAAAGTATATATATATTTATATAATATTTGTACAACAGTTCTGTCTGGTTTAGGGTTGAGCGGTGTCGACCAATTTGCCATCGTACGCGATGGACGATGGCATCGTCGTCAAAGGCGGAGGTGAATTAATTATTTATGAATAATTAATTAATTCATAACAAATTAATTATTTGTAGCCTACCCTTTCAACTACTGACCTGCATGGTCTTTGTTTAACCCATAAACAAATCACAAATAAATAAAGATAAGTTACACACAAATTACCACCTGTCAATCACTTTTTCCACGGGAGGTTGGTCGGTAAAAAAGGTGCTCAACCAACAGTATCTGAGGTTTTCACTAAAATTAAAAAGTACAAGTATGAAAGTGAAAGATTGAAGCAGTGTACTGACGCTGTGACACATTACCTGATAGATTCAAAAGACCTAAGAGTCTTTAGATAGAGACAAGAATAATTTAATATCACAACTATAGTAAGACGCGATCCAGCGGTACATCCTTGATAAACTGTCCGACATGCACTGCTCTGGAGCTCAGACAGACGAGCGCATGACAGTGTGTGGCTGTGTGTGTTGTCATGTGATGATTTTCAGTGGACGAAGGGCTGTTCAGAAATGCTAGGTAAGACACGGTGTGGATGTGGATCATTTTCGTTCTAAAATGGCATATTAATACTGAGACGTATTAGTGTAAACGGGGCCTAAGTGTGCATTTTTCGTGAACCCTAGTTTGGTCCTCGAATCTTATTGGCTGATATCAGTAATGTCAAGTAATGTCAGTCTCATCAAACCTCTTCACTCTTGTGTATTACTCGAGCCACACGAGTGGCAAAAAGAGGACTACAGGTTGACAAAAATTGCAGCTGTTGGACAACATAATGAACTTTTGAGGCTTTTTTTAGGTGAGCATGTAGTTGTTTAGATTGCAACTATGCAATTTATTTATAAGGATAGTGCCTATTTTAAATATTCATCATTTTGAGATTCAACTAGTTGGCGGCCATCATCCTGTCATACTGAGCAGAGCAAAGACGGTTGAAGTTCCGCCACAAGATGGCGACAGAGATCGCATAATTTGTCCTTAGGGGAGCAAAACAGTAATTTTTCAGTGTAAGTTTTAAACTACAGCTGTACAAATCATTACAGAACAGGTAAGTAACATTCTAAGTCAATCTCTCTCTTTTTTATGTTGTAATTCTGTATTTATACCATAGTAATCTGGTAGTGTTTGCTTTGCTTGGACTTTTTCAGGGTTAATTTTTGTGATCTCCCGATTGCAACAGAGAAATACTGGAAAATTTCTGTAGACTGATGGCATTTCATGTCATTCAGCTTTATAATTTTAAAATGAGACCAAAACCATCTGTTTTGTCATCCCTTTAGACATTGTGCTAGAAAATCATTCAAATACTAGCTCTAACATGACGTTGGTGAAGTAGCAATGGTTCTGCTGTTCTGACCATCAGCTGCAGATTTGTATGAAAGGTGGAAGAAAGTTGTTCCTCTAGTGTCTAGAAAGTAGTATACTGTAATACTGATTATATATGTAAATATATTTCTTTTGAGTATTTTAGTTTTTTATTATGTGTGTATTTATACATATATAGATAAATATACACATATGTAAATTTATTTTTACATATTTATTTTACTCAAATATATTCAATGAAAATATTCACAGTTAATTAAATTAAATATTAAGACATTGTAAAATATGCAAACAAACATACAACAAACAAATTAAAGACAACACATCTGCCAAGTAATATGAATTGATAACATGTTAAGTCATAGATGAGCAGCTGGTTTTTCGGTGGGTCTGTTTCTAGTGTTTTTTTATGCAGTCGGACGTGCTCAGTCTGTAGGTTATAGTTGTGTTCACCAGTCACAGTGCACTATTACTCACGGTACGAGTTGAGAGTGGCATAGCGCGTACCAAAAGTAATAATGAACCGTGAGGCCGGTAAGACTCAAATCTCCACCTGCAGCAGTGCTAGAGGACACACACACTTAAACACAGCAGTATAACACACCCACAATCAATTCGATTGCGCTTATACAATGCAGATTCTGTAAAAGCAGACAATAACCATTCACACATTCTCATACACCGCCATCATATTACCACAACATAAACATTGTAAAAGTGTTTAACACTCCTGAATAGCCTGAGTAAGTGCGTCTCTGTTGAAATGAGTGTGTGAAAGTGCTGGATTTGCAGTGGGTTGGTGAAGTATGTGTCTGTACATGCGTTTTCAGTTATTGTTGCCCACAAGCCCTTGTGCAATGGAAACAGGGAAAACTGAGACGGTTTTCTCCCACATTTTCAGAAAGTGGTCAGGAATGTGAGACCAGAACTGTCATGATAGCTTATGAAGGTATGAAGAGAGGATAATGAGTTATAAAATGATGAATTCTGATAGGTGTGAACATATTGCAGTAGGGTTTGACAGTAATGTGCAATTTGTGTCTTATATGTGGACAAAAGTGACTATATTTATTTTTCGTATGACCTTATGAACATAGTAAATGAACATGGTAAAAATGCTGTATTCCAAACAATTCCTTTATGTTGTCCATAAAATTTAAACTCTATGCGCACACAGGCTAATAGGGTCATCTTATCTGCTCCAGCGTCATTACTATATGGCACAGGGGATTAGTTGCTGTCACTTCAGCAGCCAATGAGCTTCTCCTCATCCTGTTAAATGCTCCTTGTCATTTAACAATGTTAAGCTATGGTGCACTTTCGGAGACCCTCCTCCACCCCAGCTCCACTTTTGTTTGCAGCATTCTCAAACGGCATGTCTGTGTGTATACTGGCAGTCTGTGTCTGTGTGTATACTGGCAGTAGCAGGTCTTAGGCTGCGTCCGAAACCGCCTACTACTTAGTAGGTACTGTATTTGAATTTAAACATACTACTCGGCCGATAGAAAAGTACGTTCTATACAGTATGAATGTGAAAAGTATGAATGGAATTCGTACGTACTACATCCGCTATTTTGTCATGGTCACGTGTCAGTTGCGTCGCTTCACTTCCATTCATGAATTCTCTCGCGGGGCATTATGGGATAGCGCAGCGTGCATGAGATGCGCACTCCAGAATCTCGCCGGAAGCAGTAAGTCATCTGTGTATTTCTCGCATACTAATTTTCGAATTCTATGAATTCGGACATACTACTCGGCTCGCATACTGATTTTAGCGTACTTTATAGTATGGAAGTAAGCGGTTTCGACGCAGCCTTAGTACTTGCTCTGCCATAATAATCAAAGCAGAAGCAGCAGCAGCGTAGCAAATCTATACTGCCAAGGTCAAATACAACAACCTTGCCATATACATATTCATTACCAAACTAAATCCTGAGTGGAGTCATGACAGAATTGTATTTACAAAATTAAGTGGATTAAACATAAAACAATTAAGTTGCACCCCAAAATAAAAATCATATTTTGAGTGAACTACGAAAACAATTTTGTTTACAAAAGGAAATGGTAACACTTTGATTTAAGTCCCCATGCTTACTATTAATGAGTGCCTTATTACCTGACTATTATTAAGAGATATTCTATTTATTATTACTTATAAAGTACATATTTTGCATGATCTTATTCAGCATTCCTCATCATACCCAACACCTAAGCCTATAACTGCCAAAATGATTAATAATAAATAGCAAATAAGGAGTTTATTGAGCTAAAATTCATGTTTTTAATAGTGAGAATTGTACCTTAAAATAAACTGTGACTTAGTTAAATGTTAAGGTTGAATCAAAGTTGTATAACCAGAATATGAAGTGTACATTTTTCTTTTGTTTATTTGAGCATTTTTTTTCAGTCCTGTAATGTAATCATAGTATAATAATTATGTAAATATAGTATAATAATATATAGAAATAATAAAATTAATAAATACATAAATATATAATGATAATATGTTAAATGTATGTAATCATTCAGAGATTCAAAATAGGTATGTCATTAGGATAATTTTTAAATCAAATACATTTTAATCATGGTTGTGTGAAAAATATATACACACTTATTATGAAAATAACATTTTAAAAGAACAAATGTAAAAGACAACGGAATGTAGTGTTACTATTAAACATTGTCATTATTATTATTATTATTTTAGATAGTTTCGATGAAGAGTTCTGTCTGTTTATTATGCATTACTGGGAGTGAATTTGAATCTGCTGCGGATGATGTGTGTATGTATCAGTGTGTCTGTATGTGATGATGATGATGATAGTGATGATTACTCTGCTCTTACCAGTGTTCCGTGAGGAAGCAGGATTTTTTGAACATGTGACTTTATCTTCATCCAGACTGAATCCCTCCTCACACACACATTGAAAACTGCCCAGCGTATTCACACACTTCTGAGAGCAGCTCTGAGCCTCCTTACACTCGTCCACATCTAAGAGACAAACAGCCTTTCACTTATCTTAAAAACAGTTATTTATAATGCTAGTAAAGTTAGGGTTTCTACATCAGTCTTCAATCTTAAGATGCTATTTAAGATTAAGTATTTATATTTTGTACTATTGATATTGTTTATACTAAATGTATTATTAATATGTTGGTAGCTTTTTGTAGCATTTAATGAGTTGCTTATGTTTTATCATGTTGCTAGGGATGTTTAAATAAATTGCTAGCTTGTATGTAATTTTTAACGATTTACCAACATGTTTTTGTTAACAAGTTGCTAAGTTTGTTTGAGCAAAGTTGCTAGCTTGTAACTGTTAATCAGTTACCAACATGTGTTATCACATTGCTAGCATGTTTCTAACAAGTTAACAGTTGCTAGCTTATTTGTAACATTTTTATACGTTGTTAATGTGTTTGTAGCATATTTGAAGAAACTGCTAGCACGTTTCTAGCATTTTTTAACAATTCACTTGTTTGTTTGTAAGATTTGAACAAGTTGCTAACATGTTTTAAGCTGCTAGCATGTAATATGTTAAACATTTTTCCAGCAAGATTTCATGTAGCATGTTTTATTAAGTTTGCAACAATTAACAAGATGCTAACATTTTTATAATGTCAGTTGTTTGTTTCTAACATTTTAACAGGTTTCTAATATGTTCTACAAAGTTGCTTACATGTTTTTGCATATTTAAACACATTACTTGCACCTTTCTAGTTTGTTTTTAACAATTTGCTAACTTGTTTGTAATATTTTAACAAGTTGCTAAAATGCTTTTTTTTTTTTACCAAAATCTAACATGTTTTACAGGATGTTATGTTGCAAAATGTTAACATTTTTATCATGTTTGTAGGTATTGTTTTTACCTTTTACCATGTTACTAGCATGTTTCAACAATTCACTAGCTTTGAAAGATTTTAACAAGTTGCCAACATGTTTTATGTTGCTAGCATCCAATATGTCTTAAACATTTTCTGGCAGGATTTCACATAGCATGTTTTAATAAGTTGTCACATAGCATGTTTTAATAAGTTTTTTGAACATTTAACAAGATGCTAAAATATTTTATCATGTCAGTAGTATGTTTTTAACATATTACCAAGTTTCTAGCATGTTTTACCAAGTTGCTAACATGTTTAGCGTATTTGAACACATTGCAAGCTTGCACTAGCTTGTTTTACAATTTATTAGCTTGTTTGTAATATTACATTTTAAAAAGTTGCTTACATGTTTATGCTGCTAGCATCTGATATGTTTTTAAAAATTTCTGGCAAGATTTCATATAAGATGTTGTAATAAGTTGATAGCTTGTTTGCAACATTTAACATTCAACAATTTTATCATGTCAATAGTTTGTTTATAACATTTTTACATGATTCTAACATGTTTTACCAAGTTGCTAACACATTTTTAGCATATCCAAACACATTTCTTGCATATTTCTAGCTTGTTTTAACAATCTGCTAGCTTGTTTATAAGATTTTAAGAAGTTACTAGGATGTTTTATGTTGCTAGCATCTAATATGTTTTAAATGTTTTCTGGCAGAATTTCATGTTGCAAGATTATAGCATGTTTTAATAAGCTGATAACTTGTTTGTTTCTAGCATGTTTTTAACATGTTTTAACAATTTGCTAGCTTTTTGATAAGATTTTAACAAGTTGCTAACACATTTAATATTGCTAGCATCTAATAGGTTTTAAACATTTAACAAGATTCTAACATTAGTCATGTTAGTTATTATTTATCATGTTAGTAGTTATTTTTAACATTTTAATGAGTTTTTATATCATATTAATATTAACAATTATGAGCATACAACAGTAATGTGTGTTTGTTTGTACCTATTTGGCAGAATCGTCCTGTCCATCCTCTCAGACAGGCACAGTGATTGGGCCTTACACACGAGCCTCCGTTTGCACAAGACTGTTCACATACCGCTATATAGAGTGAGACAAATATAAATACGCACATAAAAAAGTGAGCGAAAACACATTCAGAACTCACTTAAAGGTGCAATTGGAGATGTTGGAAAATGCTAGCATTAGCCATAGCACTGAAAGTTTTACGTCCCACCATACAAATCTCCATCCAAAGGCATGCCTCATGAGTAGGGCCAGATGGAATCTGCTGACATTTTTGCTATTTTTACGCATAATTTTGGTAAAAAAATTTTGGATTTATGTGGAATAATTTTGGGAGTATCATAACTAAAAACTTAATTTATGAACTAAAAAGTAATACCTTTTTAACTTGTATTTAATGTTTATAATGTTACTTCAATTAGATCCACTTCATTTGGTAAACAAAGCAAGTCTCTCATATAATATATCTACTAAAAGACAGAAAATATTACTTTACAAACTTTATTGGTAATAAATCATTTGAATATTTTCATATTAGTCAATAATATTACTGAAATTAATTTTAAAACTGAATAAATATAAATTTACACACATTTACACAAGTAAATAAACAGAATCAATGATGGGCTAAAAATCTGCAGAATTCTGCGTGTGCAGATTCCGTGTCGGCCTACTCATGATCACACACTACACAACATCACTACAATACACCACGTAACATCCACTAGAGATAACTACTTTATAGTAGTTATTACAACACCAAACTTAAAAAAAAAAGATATGCAATTACATATTTGGTACCAATTTTGCTAGCTTGTTCGTAACAAGTAGCTAGCATGTTTCTAGCAATTGCAGGTAGGACAGTCTATCATAATGTTTGGACTGAACGATTTAATTGGACGAACGTTACATTTTCCAATTAATATTAACCCTTATGTTCAGTTGGGGATGTTTTCATTCACTCAGGAGTGATTTTGAGTCTTAATTTGGCCACAAATTTCTCTGTGTTTCAGCAAATGGAATGATTTTTGGTGACAAATCATATTTTGACACATATTTTGGGAAAATGTTTTAAAAATGGCCAAAAATTCAACAATATAAACTCTGGGCAAACTTACTACCCTTTAGTTATGTTGGTGGCTGTTTTTGCCCCATTGACTTCCATTATAATTACTTATTTTCTTTTTAGTTTCTGCCTACATTGATTAGTGTTTGTGTGTGTGTTTGTGTGTGTGACAGAGACCTTTGCGCACTTATCTAGATATCTCTGAGGAAATCAAAATAAGCAGCTCAGCTCTCAGAACATAGTAAACATAGTACTGTAAGTCTATTAATGCACATACACTTGGATATGCTGTTTTTAGTCCACAGAACTCCATATAAAAGCCAGACACGTTTTTTGCACAAGTCTACCTAAAGGGTTAATGCTGCCAACTGATGATCAACAGTAACAATGAAAAATTTTACCTCTTCTCAACAGGGAAAACCACCAACAATAAAGAATTTATGATTATATGCTGTCATGGCTTTGCAATCAAAAAATGTCAATATAATGGAAGTCAATGGGGAAAACAGTCAGTAGCATAACAAAAGAGTAGTCAGTTTAAACAGTACACAAGGGTTAATATACATATAAATGCATTTGGTCCACTTTATTTAATGATTTCTATCACAATATGAAGAAAAGACATTCAAGCAGCATAACAAAAAAAAAAATCTGAAGACAACTATCGCACCTTTAAATCGATATGACCTTTGATTTACCTTGGTTGCAGTTGTGTGAATGCATGCGCCTCCACCCCGGACAGCATTCTGGGTAAATTTGTAGATTAGGAGCTGCTCTGCTCACCTGCCTATAAGAAACCTTGTAGATGGTCCTGTAAAACACGCAATACAGTGAGTTGATGGTGCATGGTACGGTTTTGATATGTGTTTTCCTGTGCTGTTCTTACTTGTACGTGCTGCACATGCGGTGGTTTTGGCACATGGTGATGTAGGGTTTGTGTACAGGCTGAAGAAAAGACTCTGTGCTGTAAGACACGCGACGACTCCAGACATCACCAACACACACTCTCCTCCTGAAACACACACATATAAAGCGGGGAAATTAAGTATTAAACACGTCACCATTTTTCTCGGAAAACATATTTCTCAAGGTGCTGTTGACTTCCATATTTGCAAAGAAAACTAATCTTATTACAAATTAAGTAATGCATAATAAGATGAAAGGACGCAGGGAAAAAGTATTGAACACATGAAGAAAGAAAGGTATAGAAAGGCAGTGAAAGCCCAGACAGCAGCTGAAATCTTTCAGTAGTTCTTCAGCAACCCTCTGCCCTGCCTCATTGTAAAGTAATATTAGCTGCTTTAGTCCAACATCTACATTAGCAGGATGATGAAGATGAAACCAGAGTGGACATTTCAGCAAGACAATGATCCAAAACACAACCAAGGAAACTCTCAAATGCTTTCAGAGAAAGAAAATTAAGCTGTAGAATGGCCCAGCCAATCACCTGCCTTAAATCCAATAGAAAAAACAAAATAAAGATCAGATTTGATAGACGAGACCCACAAAACCATTAAGATTTTTACACTCTGTTGTAGTCTGTGAAAAAATTACACCTGATCATTCTCCATATGCGAGCCGTCTTTAAGCTGCCTTCATCAAAAAAGCATTTTCATTTCTTTGTTGATGCACAGAACTCATTTTTCAGATTTTTGTTTTGTTTTATTTTCATGTTTGTATTTTATTTTATGTTTTTTTTACCAAAATCTGATTTAATTCCATGTTAACATCTCCATTAGAGATATTATTCCCTGGAGAAAAAAAAAAAAAAAAAACATGACGTGTTTAATACTTATTTTTCATGCTGTATAAACAATCACACTCCTGAACCAAGGATATTCCGTATGCTACTGTAAATGTTACAAGTTTCTTCTGCTCAGTTTCCTCTAACTTTCCTCTATATTTATTTCTGGGATGTACAGTTGAAGTCAAAATTATTAGCCCCCCTGTATTATTATCCCCTTGTTTATTTAGAAATAAACACATTTCTAAACATAACAGTTTTAATAACGCATTTCTACTAAACTGATTTATTTTATCTTTGCCATGATGACAGTAAATAATATTTTACTAGATATTTTTCAAGACACTTCTACACAGCTCAAAGGTTAACTAGGTTAATTAGGTTAACTAGGCAAGTTAGGGTAATTAGGCAAGTTATTGTATAGCGATGGTTTGTTCTGTAGACAAGAAAAAAAAAAAACTTTTAGCTTAAACGTTTAAAAAATTTAGCTTAAAGGGGCTAATAATTTTGACCTTAAAATGTTTTTAAAAAAATTAAAAACCTCTTTTATTCTAGCCAAAATTAAAATAATTGGAATTTCCCAAATTGGGAAATATTTAAAAAAGAAAAAATAAATAACTGACTTAATTGACTTCAACTGTATTTCTGAATATTTGGCATCATTAGTCCAGTCTTCATGCAGTGTCACATCCTTTATAAATCATTTTAATAAGATGATTTGATGCTCAAGAAACGTTGACTATTCTAAGTGCTGAAAACTGATGTGGTCTCGATTCAAAAATAAATTTTTTAAATAACTACTGTACATTGATTTTAAATATTTTTTGTAACATTATGAATGTCTTTGCCTGATGTATTCATGTGTCCTTCACTCTAAAAAAATATTTTTGCTGCTTATTTAAACTACTTATAAAATGAGCTGAAGCAATACAGTTTTTGAGATTTTTTAGGGATAACTTAATTTTGTTATGTTCTATGCAGTTAAATTTAAATTAAATTAACTTATTTGTTTTGTGTTGGGACAACATGGATGAATTGTGTTGAACCCTGCTTTTTTACAATGTTGATGGATTAAAATATATTTAAAAGACTCCAAACTTTTCAACAGTATATACATTGATGATTTATATTCATATACAGTGCTCGGCATAATTGAGCACACCTCATTTTAAAAATTAATATTTTTAACCATTTCTCATATGAGTTATTCATATGGGCAATGCACTTTGGTGCAATTTAACAAAACAGACTTATTAAACTGATTTATTTATCAAAATAATATTTTAGTCAACAAACATATTTAAAAATTTAAAGACAATACAAATAAATTTAAGTAAAATATTGCAAAACACTTTCCTCTTCCTCTTTTTTAAAAATTTGCATTTAATATTTTTCTATAACTTCAATTTGGGTGTACTAGTTTTTGGACCGTTATCGTAAGTTGTTTTGTTATATTAGCTCCAGATTTGGCTTCAGTACTGACTAATCTAATGTATATGCACAAAAATTATATTGTAGAGCTTCCTATTAAAAATAGGAATTTAAAAAATAAATTTGTGAGGGTGTACTTATATATGCTGAGCACTGTATATATTATTTATTTTGTAAGCATGCATGTATACAGCTTACAGAATAATCTTAAATCAAATAAATTATTATAATTTATTTTAAATAAATGTCATAATTATATTAAAAAGAACATTGTTCTTTATTAACATATTAGCTTATATTATATTTTATTATATTATATGTTAATATATTATATTGTATTTATTATATTATAATTATTATATTATATTATAATTATTTTATATTATGTTATATTAAATTACTATACACTCAAAAATGTTAGCTGTTTGTTCAAATTTTTTATTTAAAATAAAAGAACACAATTGAGTTTTGACAATTTAAAGTTTTATGTTCAATCTACTTAAATTTGTAAAAACTAATAAGTTACCCTAATTTCTTCATGTTCTGCCAACACAAATCAACATTTTTTGGAATAGCGTTTATTTTATAAAAGACATTTGGATTGTTGTTTATACTATATCCCAGAAGCTTGCTGTCTATCAGTTCTAAATGGACGTGACTGACTAATGTAATTAGCTGTTATTATATGCACTGACCTTTAACCTTCCTGTAACCCCTGATGCCCCAGAGCATGTGAACTGAATTTACAGACAACAGTGTGTGTGTGTGTGTGTGTGTGTGTGTGTGTGTGTGTGTTTGTGTGTGTGTGTGTGTGTGTGTGTGTGTGTGTGTGTGTGTGTGTGAGTGTGAGTGTGAGTGTGTGTGTGAGTGTGTGTGTGAGTGTGTGTGTGTGTGTGTGTGTGTGTGTGTGTGTGTGTGTGTGTGTGTGTGTGTGTGTGTATGTGTTTATGTGTGTTTTTACCCGTGATGACTGTGAGTCTGAGGTGTGCTGGTCACATGCAGGAGAAACAAAGAGGAGGAGAGCAGAAGCGCTGTGTACATCTCTGTTAGTCTGTCTGTTTCTCAGGTGTGTCTGACAGCAGAAAGAGAGACTGCAGGTCTGTCAATCCGCTACCTGAAAGATAAATACAGACATATTACAGTTTTTCTCAGTCGCTTTGGCACATTTCACAGATCAGAATTGAAACTTGCAAAACATTCATTCATTCATTTTCCTTCGGCTGTCTCTATTTCAGAAGTCGCCACAGTGGAATAAACCGCCAACTATTCCAGCATATGTTTTTCACAGTGGATGCCCTTCCAGCTGCAACCCAGTACTGGGAAACATCCATACACGCTCATATACTATGACCAATTAAGGTAATCCAAGTAACCTATAGCTCATGTCTTTGGAGTGTGGAGGAAACCGGAGCTCCCGGAAGAAACCCACACCAACACAGGGAAAACATGCAAACTCCACACAAAAAAGCCAACTGGCCCAGCCGGGAATCAAACCAGCAACCTTTTTGCTGTGAGGCGACAGTGCTAACCACTAAGCCACCGTACCATATAAATGGAAGGATGGATGGATACTGTAGATAGATGGATGAATAGATGCTATGGATTAATAGATGGAAACTGGACAGATGGATAAATAGAAGGACACCGTATGGGATATGTGGATAGATGGATACTGTATATAGATGGATGGATGTATGAATACTATGGATGGATAGACGGATACTGTATATAGATTGATGGATACTATGAATGGATAGACGGATACTGTAAATGGATGGATGGATAGAAACTATGGATGGATGGATGGATGGATGGAAGGAAGAAAACTATAGATAGATGGACAGGTGGATAGATGGATACTGTATATAGATAGATGGATGGATACTGTAGATGGATGGATGGATAGATGGATACTGTATAGATGGATGGATACTGTGGATAGATGGATGAATGGATACTATGGATTTATGGATAGACGGATACTGTATGGATGGAAGGACACTGTATGGATATGTGGATAGATGGATACTGTATATAGATGGATGAATAGATTGATGCATAGACAGGTACTGCATAAGAATGGATTGATGGATGGATACTGTATATAGATGGATGGATGAATAGATTGATGGATAGATGGATACTGTATATGGATGGATTGATGGATGGAAACTGTAGATAGATAAATGGATGCATGGATGGACACTACATACTGTAGATGGATAGGCGGATGAATGGATACTGTATATAGATGGATAGATATTATGGACGGGTTGATGGATGGATGATGGATGGAGAGACGGATACTCCTATAGATGGATAAATGGATATGATAGATAGATAGATAGATAGATAGATAGATAGATAGATAGATAGATAGATAGATAGATAGATAGATAGATAGATAGATAGATAGATAGATAGATAGATAGATAGATAGATAGATAGATAGATAGTTAGATAGGTGGACGGACTGACAGATAGATGGAAGGACACTATGTATAGGTGGATAGATGGGTACTGTATATAAGTAGATGGATGGATGGTACTGTAAAAAAGATGGATGGATGGATGGAAATTGTAGATGAATGGTTGGATGGATCATTGGAAGGACACTGTATAGATAGATGGATAGGTGTATAGATAGATACTGTATATGAATGGATGGATGCATGGATACTAAAGATAGATGGGTGCATGCATGGATGGATGGATGGATGGATGGATGGATGGATGGATGGATACTATAGATAGATAATAAACTGTACTTACAAATAAACTGTACAGATAGATGGACAGGATAGATGAATGGATACTGTAGATGGATGGATGGATAGATGCATGGATAGACGGATACTGTACAGATGGATGGATACTGTAGATAGATGGATGAATGGATGCTATGGATTTATGGATAGACCGATAATGTATAGATGGATGGATGGAAGGACACTGAATAGATAGATGGATAGGTGGATAGACACTGTATATGAATGGATGGATGTATAGATACTAGATAGATGGACTGATGGATGGATACTAAAGGTAGATAATACACACACATTTAAAATAATACATTATGTTTAGTGCACTACAATGAAGAACTTACTAGTCAGTTCTTTAGATGTAAGATTAGATGTAAGAGTCTGTAGAGAACTTCACTAGTATTTAGCAAATGTTCTTTATGTTAAAGTGCTTCACTGAGCAGCTGGAGCTCATCACACACACAACTGCTCTTCAGACCGACATGAAGGATTAAACATATCATTTATAACCATTTTACAAAAGCACACAGTTATGACCTGTTTCATGTTTCAGCATGAGAGAGAGAGTTAATGCACTTTTAAAGGCAGACAATTAGAGAAAATGAATCATCGTTAAGACGAGCATTACAAATCACAGCCGATCGAGTCGAACACGATGCTGAGAAATGCATGCACATCTAAATACACAAATACATTCACAGCTTTCCTCATAATTATCATCACTGTACATTTTCATTTTGGTTGTGATGATTGAAAACATATTCCTTGTCTTTATTTGTAGCATGAAAATCTCAGGTAGTACAGTTTTATTTAAAAATTGGTTTAATGAACATACAAACATAATCAAAAAAGGACAAAGGCAAGGGTATCAGTAGACAAGTATAGCAGCAAAAGTCAAAGAGAAAAAAATCAATAATTAAATAAATAAAAAATAATAATAAAGAAATAAGGTAGTGCAGGTTTTAAAGTAGAGATGAAATCAAAACTGACCATATGATTTTGTTAACTCATGTTGCTAGTTTTGTGGTTAACAATTCATCTGTGCATGTCATTAAGAAAAAAAAATAGTTTGCCCTTGTAATCTTTAACTAATCTGAAGCTGACTTCCTGTTTGTTTTCAGTTAAAGAGCCCCTATTATGAGTTTTTGAAAATGACCTTCCAAACAGCGTGCAACACATCTCTAAGTGAATGAAAACATCCAGCTAAGGCTTAAAACTGAAAGTGCACCGTGTTTAAAAATATAGATTTTTTTAATAAAAGATTCAACTCGGAGTCGTTTAAATGAATTGTCGTTTATCCAGATCTTTTGCCTGTTCGTATCGACGTTGACACGAAACAATACCAAATATGTTCTGTGCCGGATCCAGTAAAATGAACGCGCCTTGCCCTTCAATCGCTAGCAGAGTGTGGGTTTGTTTAGAACTGATCTTGACTGATGATGAGTGAATTATTAATATGTGAACATTCTTGTGATTAATGCATTGTTCTACCCTGCAGTGGGGGATTCATTGGATGTTTGTTAAATGAAAGATCAGAAAAGACTAATGATGTATGGGACTTTGTCAGAGCTTGACTGAAACTTTATCATTTAATATTTAATTGTGTTTTGTTACTTGTAATCGCTCCACGTGGCTTGTACTGTATCTGGTTAACTCTTTATATTCTCATATCACATCTGAAACCACGTTAAAATGCAACGCTTGCCACTTTTTTTACTGATTTAAATGCGTTTGTGAGCTCGCGATACTCCATCGTTTGTCATTGCTATGGCCACGGTCAGCTGTTCCTACACACGTGCAGCTGCGATGGTCAAGTTTCAAAATAGTTCAGCTTTTGCCACTGTGTGGATTAATACTGAATGTGTGTCGTGGTTAAGAATAGAGCAATATGCTGGAGTTTAACTGCATTGCTTTATTGCACTCCTGCATTGGGCTCGCACATATACTCTGCACTCTGACTACTTCAACAATGTTGATAAGCCGTGGTGAGCATTTTTCTGTCTTGGGCTGAATGCAGTCGACCAATCGCAACAGACTGGGTCATCGGGCCCATCAGCCAGATTCGCATTGCGCTAAGGAGGGGTTTGGGAATGAATCGCTGAACAAATCATATAGGAGTAATTAGGTACAAATAAAAGCTAATTATAGGACAATGAAAGTGTTTTCTGACCTTGTATGCATATCAGCCTGTTGTTGGAGACAACCAAACCAAAATATGACCTTTTTGAATGCATAATAGGGGCTCTTTAAATTTTCAGATTACATCTGTTTGAGGTATTGGGCATGTCTAATATACTTAACCACGCCCCTCCAACTGTCAGTTATGACAACAAACAGAGATGGTGAGCAGGAGGAGTCTTTTAGGTTGTAAAAAAACTCTTCTAAAACAAATTTCCTGATCATTCTGAATAAAAAATGCCTACTTTACTACATCCAATCAGCTCGCAGTAGAAAAAAACAAGCCACGCCCACTGCTTTCTCATTTAATATTCTGTTTCCCTAGGAACTTTCACAATACGGTAAAATAATGGTCGGAGCTTCCAGTTCATGCAGACTTTAAATATTACTTCAATAAGTAATATTTATATGAACATAACCTAGAATATGTTATTTAAAACATGGCTTTGATTACAGAAACAGCATTCAGCATGTTGACCAACCACACACACACATGCCTGCTTCAAATGAAACAAAGCCAGCTATATTAAAAGTCATTTCTCTTCCTGAACGTATGTATATGCTCATGTTCTCTCATCTTGAACAGCTTACAGTAATCATCAGGTTATTGCTGCTTTAATGAGTTCAGCTTTACAGAGCGGTGTAAAACTGATTTCTGTGTTCCCCGGAGAGCTTTTGACAACAAGCCTAAAGCCTCCGCTATTAGACCTACCACTACCTGCGTGAGTGTGTGTGTAAAAAGCACTTTAAATGAGCTCTTGTCTCATATTTTCTGGAGATTAACAACCTATCTTACCCTGCTCTGTTCTTAATGGTTTTGTCCTGTGTGCATGTGCAGGCTGGTAAAATGTGCATTGGGGAAGTGCTACTAAATGTTCCAGAATAAAACTTCACTTTTGGGATTTTTAAAGTCACCATTAAATCAAATCAGATTTTTTTTATTTAATATTGTAGTATTTTGTTTAAATATCTTACTTCACACAATTCCTTAATTTTGTCCCCACACAAATGAATGAAGAATTGTGTTGATTTAGCTCATTTTAAGTAAGTAGTTTGAACAAGCCGATTTTTTTTAAGTGTAAATAAATGTACATCTGATTTGCTTTGCTATTTTTTTATTTATTTGTTTATCCACCTAATTTTTAATCAAATTAACGTCTCTCTCCCTTCT